ATTTTCATGCTAAAGATAATGAACCAGATTGAAGCCTGTGGTGATCCGCTGCACAGCGAACGCTGTCCGGATCAACCGTGGCTCCCACGCAGCAACCACAATAAAAGGAATACCGGAAATCTCCTAAATTCCCGGAGTTCCGCTTTAGCTCAAGTATATACAGCCCGTTTAGAAAGTGAGGTCACAGCGTTCATACATGGCTGGGCACTGGCCCCCACATCCAGCACAGGTAAAGAATGGACGGGAAGAATGAGGCAGACAAAAAGAGAAGGGCGAAAGAAAGAGGAAAATTTGAATGAAGGAAGAAAGGAAGAGAAAGAATAAAAAAGGGAGAAGGATAAAGGCAATTAATAAAATATTTATTAGTTGATTTATGGTTTTCATAACGACGCCGCAAATATATGGCCTTGCAGGACTGTTAGAGAATAAAGGAATAAATGAAAGAAAGCGTTACTGGCCTGATTTGAGGTACTAACCTGGTGTTTTCCTGGAGGAACTGAAGAAGATCACTAAATACCTCAGTGACGACCGTGGAGGCCCCAGCCTGTACCGGTCGAGTCAAAAATACGAGAATGGAAAGAGACAAATAAAACAAGAAGTTCTGTGAAGAACTAATCACTACTTTCTTTTGATACCACACGAAACGCAAGGAAAGCGAAATAATTAGGGAGGACGTACAGACACTGAAGCATCAAGGTGATCTTATAAACCTCGGAACAGAAATTAGGATCGATACAAAGACAGAGGGAGCAAGATGATCACATAAGCCTTATAAGGCTAAAAATATTAGGGCCGATACACAGATGGACAGACATAGACGGGTATATAGATAGACAGCAAGGTGATCACATAAGCCTTATATGGCTAAAAATATTAGGACCGATACACAGATGGACAGACATAGACGGGTATACATATAGACAGCAAGGTGATCACATAAGCCTTATAAGGCTAAAAATATTAGGGCGGGTACACAGACAGATATACAGGTAGACAGTAATGTGATTGCATAAGCCTCCATTTATTTTTTCAAAAGAAGGAAATATGCTAACAGAAAATGGCAGATGAATGGGAAAGAAAGAAATGAAGAATTGGAGGAGTGTAAGAGGAAGAAAAGAGGGAGGCGAAAGGGAGGGAAGGAAGGAAGGAAGACGCACGCGTGGACACGTAGGATCCAGCGCTGTGCGCATGCCTGTCTTGCAATTGGTGCTCAAGACACTCTTCGTGCATTAACACATTCTGATGCTTTGACATCACTTGACCCAGATTTAAGCAGATATTCGTGGATTAGCATCCGTCTGAGTCAGTCTCTCAGATTCCTTCATGAACATCAATTTAGTCGGACAGTCGCGTCACATCTTTGTCTTCTTCACATCGAACACTGAAATCCAAATATTTTGGCCGGTTGATATGTTAATTGCGAGTATAAATCATACAGTTATGTAACTTTAACAACAGATTTAATAAGGTAATAATAATGAAAATATATTGTCACTGCACAGGGCTAATATTAATAAAGGAATAAAAATCATCAGGCGTAAAACTCTGGAAGTTAAAGACGATAATAAACGAAGAACACACAAGATTTTTCTCTTGAAATTCCATGATCACTTCAGTGTTGAAGTAGCTGGACAGTTTATCCATTCTGAACTGCTCAACAAATTGAGTTCTTTCGTACACACACCTCTTTGTGAATATATAGCATAGCGTTCGATTTCTATTGATTTCCTTGGATGTAAGTTCACAGTAGCGTTACATCAAACGTAAAGTGTCTGTACGGGACCCCGCTTTCGAAATGAGGAGGATTAGTAATCTGATAGGCTGTAATCGATTTTAGCACCACCTACTGGAACCTATAATGAACTCAATCAATACATGAGTGAAATGATCAATAATCTATTTTGCGCAATATCACTGGTATATGTACATCCTACAGCAATTATTCTGATAATTATGATTATCTTGGCCGTATGGACACAGGCAGAGGGGGGTGAAATGGTATAACAAGATTATATAACCTCAACTGAGTTAACGATGGATTATCACAATTATTGAAATCCCCTCTCGGAAAACGTCATTTAGAGAGTTCGAGGTATCGATCGAGGAGGGGGAAATTTGGGGGCTATGATGGGTATACAAGCTCTGTCTCTCAGACTGGACAACAGTACTGTATTATGCGATGCGATTTCGAACTGTATACCCTGCGAATTATAATTAATACGAGGTGGGTTGTGTGGTTACTCTTGAAAAGAAGGCATGTTTTTGGTTAAATGTTGTTTATAGGCGTGTAGAATTCAAGAATTTTGATAGGAATATTCATGTTTGTCCTATGTAAGTGAAATATACATACAAAACCTTCATTGGGAAACATCAGATGTTACGAACTTTAGCAAGACGCGGAGCACATAGGAGAATAACGGTTAACTCTAATGCAAGAGCACTTCTAGGGCAGATAAATTGTTGATCTGCTAGCCAAGAAGTAGCCTGCATTTTATATAACCAGAAGGTTCATTAATGCGTTTACTGGAGCCTTCTGAACCATTTGAATGTAAGCCGTATCCTCCTGGAATAAATTAAGATTCATATTAATTTCATCCTTGTATATTTGCCCGCGTCTCTCAGCGTTCTCATCGCTTTGCTTTTCTCACTACAATTTTGTATGCATTACTAGTCTAATTCTTGTGCATGCTTCGCAAATCTTTTTTTTTTCAATGGCTCTTCCAGCTCATTCAGGGCCAAGGCCTCTTATTCAGTTCCGTAATCATTTTTCACAGACGGTAGTATTCCTTGGACGAGTATCAGCCGGTCGCAAGGCCGCTACCTACACACAGGACACAAACACAGACATTCAAGTCTTGAATGGTATTCGAACTCACGATCCCAGCGATCGGGAGAGCGAAGACAGTTTACGCCTTAGACCGCGCGGCCAATGTGATCGGCCCTGTTATGTGTACAGTGTGCAATTATATAAATCCGCACTTAACAAATTAGCTAGTTACTTTTTTGTTACATAATTTTAGAATATCTGAACTGGGTCACGAAACTCTCGAGTTGTCTGAAGAATAATGCAGTCATCCTGTGATTGCCTTCATAGCAGTGATCAGCGGTCTTCTGCGCCACCATTGCTGTCGCATTCTGCTCAAGCCGTTAGACTACGGAAGAGTCAGTCACGTGATGACTGATTGCTGAACAAATCGTATTCATTTTGTAGGAATGCAAACGAAAGTACAACACATGGCATGAGGGACTCTTCCAGAGGTGACTGTAACTTCCTAACGGATTTACGAATTCAGAGTACGGTATTTGTCATGGATTTCAAGAAGTTTGCGTCTATTTCTGTAGGACAGGAGATGGTGCCATTGACCTGTGTGTAGTATGTCGCATCCGGGATATAAAGGGATCGAGCCCAGAGGGTCAGTTGTTTTAAACATTATAATGCCATTCAAAGTTCGTACTAGTGACTGCCGGGACCCTTTCGGGCAACAGGTTGTTCACGTATTAACTCATTAGAAAAGCCTTTACTCTAATAAATTCATCATCCTATCATCCACTTCATTTTACCGAATATCGCTGTGTGAACTAACTGATTACTAGTTCATCGCATTCGGAAAGTGCCCATTTCGATTTCAGACCAGTATACTAGCAACTTTAAATTCTTTTCCCTGATTTTCTTCAGCCTTTCGAGAAAGGATGAAACGAATATCTTAAAGTAGGCCATGACTGCTTCCTCCAAAATTCTTGACTAGCACCGTACATAAGTGTGAAAACGGTTGGCTTCTCATAAGGTACTTTAGAAACTCTGGGGGGAAAGAAGTTAGAAAATAAAATTATCCCTTTGCTTAATTATGCAGTTAATCACCATGTCATAAGGCATATGGGGAAATGGAGATATAGCTCCGCCATTCTTGACCTCGGCATTAGATGGAGGTGAATGGTCAGCTTCAAGCCCTTGCCGCCAGGGATAGTACCCATTGAATAGGAGACTTGAGTGGACCACGGAGCCGGTCAGGACATTATGGATAAGAATCTCTTGCTTCTACCTGGATCCGAACCCCAGTCGTCCAGCCTGTAGCCTAGTCTCTATACCGAATGGACAAACCCGGCTACAGAAGCTGAATAAAACCACAAAATATGTCAACTTTTTGCCCCCTGGTATATCCCCCCCATGTGAGTCAGGCGCGTTACTGCGATTCGATTTGCAACCATAGAAATGCAGTCTTGTGACTCCTTGCAGTGTGGAATCTGCCTTTAATTCTGTTTCATGTTACATTTGTATTTCTAACGAAATGAAAATTAGAGCAACTAGATTCTAAAGCGTTCCGATGATGGTGTCTGAAACTCGGAATTACTGGGTTTTGGACTTTTTCCCATCGTCTAATATTCTGAATAACACAACGTCTCGGAAACTGAATCTGTTTCCGTCCTCAGGTTGTCAGCGATTGAAGTTAGCACTTTCTAACAGACCTATCAAAGTAGTTGTCATACACCCCCCTCACCTGATGACAGAGACAGATCTACTGTCCGAAGCTATGTGTTTTTAACAAGCCGTGGAGATTCGTTGCGCTGTCCATGTGTCACCCTCTATCCAATAAAGTTGGCACTAACTTCGCCGACAAGCGGCGGTCGCTCGGTCGGTATAGTTCGCTTACACACCAAAACCACATATTTTTTTTTTTTTTTGTTCTTTAGATTACCAGACGTTGGACAAAATCCAAGAACGCAGCAAACCTGAATACTACAGTAACTGAGAGGAGTTCACATTTTTTTTAAATCTTGAATTACACTTTCAGCCCTTATATGGAATACTTTGGGTCATGGATTTATGGTTCAGCGGTTAGGTTGTCACATGAGCGGTTAAATATCCAGCGATCGCTTTCTTGCATTCGTAAATCATTAAAACAGTAAAGTTAATTTATGTTACATATGGAGTTAATAAAATAGCATTAAACGAAACTAGAAACATGAAGAACTTCAACGAAGACAATGTTTTTGTTTTGCAGACTCAAGCTATGGCACTCACAAACAGGGGCTGCAGGACACCACCTGCTTCTACCCCGCCACTCCCCCAGGCACATCGGGCCCCAGAACCGCCACCCCCACCCGTCAGGACGCCGCCCTCAGCACCGCCGCAGCAAGAGACGTCTTTACACCCTTCTCCCAAAGATAGCTACGAACTCTCCAAGTCAAACAGCGGTGAGTAGACATTTCTCTGTGCTGCGGGTTCCCACAGGAAATCTCTTTGTGATGTCAAGAAAATTATGGAAAAATTTCGATATCCTTGATTGTGGCGCGGTGTAGATAGGTACCAAATTTAGCAGGATCATACTGTCATCACCTTCGATCTCCAAGATGAAAGAAATGCCTATCTGCCGCTTGACACATCTACTCTTACTGTACACGCGGACTTTAAACCCTCAGATCTCATATAATTAATTCAAGCTGCGAAGTTTCAGTTCTCCTCCTCTCGTCTTGTTCAACAGTTTACCAGCTCTTGACAATATGGCGTATCACATACGATCCAACAGAATTAACTGATCTGTTAGTTTAAAGCCAGCGTAGTTACGTTTGTTATTTGCGACAGCCAAAATATTGAACTAAACGAACGAGAACTGAATATCTGATAAAAGTAAAACAAACTCCGTGGTTTTAGTCCGCAAGCGAACTATACCGACCGAGCGACTGCAGCTTGTCGGCGAATTTGGTTCCAACTTTAGCTGATAGAGTGTGTCGCGTGGTCAGCGCAACGGATCCCGACGGCCGTTAATCTCGGTTTTCTAGACCGGAGCCGCTATTTCCTAGAAATAGCTCCTCGGTTATCCCCACGAGACTGAATGGACCTCGCTCCAGACCCACTACTTCTCAGAAAATATGGTAGCGCCGGGAATCTAACCCGGACCTCTGGATCTGTAGCCAGGAACTCTGGCCACTGACCACAGAGGCGGTCCTGAATATCTCATTAGAGACTAGATTTACCAAAATACCCTTGCGGATATTTCCTCAACACCACATATAATAAAAATGATTTGTTCTTCTAGAAATAGGTACCGCAATTTCGTGCTCACTACAACATAATTATCGTACTCACATGACTTGGTCTTCTTCTGAAGCTAGGCATTGTTGTTTCCTCCATACAAGATGCAATTGTTGTACCATCATGACTATGTCTCACAGAGCGACATAGTGGAATTTCCTTCCCACCAGGTGGAGTCACAAAATGTGGCCTAATTCCTTGTGTCACTCTGGTCTGTTTAATGCATTCTTGGTAAAGAAGTGACCAGCGAAATTGCACAAGCCAAAATTGTTGGAGATTCAACGGTACCTATTCTGTTATGCAAAGATAAATTGGTGACATCGTCCATCACAGCAAATTTCATAATATTAATAATAATAATAATAATAATAATAATGAGCGTTATTGGGATAAAATGTGACTGGAAACGGATGTAACAAAGGCGAAAACAAATTATTCGGATAATTAAAGAAATAAGAAATGTGAACGTGAAAGTTAAATTAATAGAAACAGTGAAGGAACCGAATTATCTGGAGGTAGCCCTGGATAGTAGATGTAAATGAGATAAACAAAAGAAGGTAGCTCAACCAAAGCTAAGCAAACTATGATTGCAGTTGACAGATGTTGAGCCAAGGCGCCTGGCACGGAGGTGAGAACGATAGAGGAGGTCTGTGACATTCTGGCGGGGGCTATAATTCCCAGAGAATAGGTTTGCAGATTTATGTGTGGTGCAGATAAGGAGCGGTAGACGCAAAATAATGATAAGAGATGTTAAGTACTGGATAAGGTTTGCACTTCTGATAAAGAAGACAATAAATATAGGCAATTGTAGATTAGTGAAGACTTTAAACGAATAAACAGGTAAAGAAGGTACAGCTATCCCTGTAACAGACCGTGGGGGTCCTTAGGATTGTGGGATGTCGAGTCTCCTACGTTTTCTAGGTAATCGGCTCACAGATGGCGGCGAGGTTGTCGGCCTTACGCGCTGGATACTCTTTACCCCCACAAAGATTCCAGGTACTAATTTCTGTTAAAGGTTGAGTCAATCACAGGGCCTTAGTGCAGCAGGAAGGATTAGGTCAACCGATAAATCCAGTGACTTCATCGGGAATCAACCCGCGACCTGCCAGTTTGTAGCATAATTTCTCAACCAAATACGCTACCGCGTACCCCATATATACCAGCAGAATTCTTTGGATGAGGGGTCACATAACATCAACGAAGGTATAAGAAGACGCGGACAGACATTCATGTCCAAATTTTGATTGCAACCCTCGATTCCCTATTCACTCTATTATTTATTTTCGTTGAGTAGGTTAGTACAGCTGCAGTTTTCTAGACCTATAAACGAATCGGGTCATGGCAGACTTACCATCCATCCTCTTCTCTTCTCTCAGTATTTGATGCATTTTGGAACAGCTCCTTAAATAAAACATTCCTACCTGCTTCCAAAACCATACATACTTGTACTATGTCATTCATGATTATACTTCCATCCCATTTTACCCTACATAACCTCCGTAATCAAAAGCATCTCTAAATGAGTTTCATTTTTTACTTCACCGCCATCTGTGAGCCGATTGTTTAGAAAATGTGTGAACCTAGACATCTCACAACTATATGAGCTTCCACCGCCTGTTACAGGGGTACCTTTACCTTTTCTTACCAATACGATTCGTATTAGGCCCTCTGGATTGTTTTCCATCAGAATTAATCTTGAATTGTGGATTTTACAGTCGGGATCGTGGTTTCGAATCCCACTCAGGGCATGGATGTTTAGTTTGTGTGTGTGCGTTTCTCTGTGTTTGTGTACAGGTAGAGGCCTTGCGACGAGCTGATCACCCGCCCCAGGAGTCCTACCGAATGTGTAAGATCTAGAAAAACCGAAGTGAACGGAGAAGTTCATGGAGGTAGGCCTAGGCCCACTGGGGCTGTAGTGCCAAGGAAAAAAAATATTCCTTGGACGTGTGATCAGCCGGTCGCAAAGCCACTACGTACACAGAACATCACAAACACAGAAGTAACGCCAACAGACATCACTGCTTTGAGAGGTATTTGAACCCACGATCCCAGTGTTTGAGCAGGCGAAGAGATTTCATGCCTTAGACCGCGCTGGCCACTGTGATCGGCGTTTAAGTGACGTAAGAATCAATTAAGCTTCATTCTTGTTGTTTTCACGTTGTTTCGTGTCTACTCCTGAGTCCGCGCGGCTTGGTTGCCAGGCGCTGTAGTTGCTGCACCTCATGCTTCCAGCGCTTACAGTTGTATCGAGGGCAGACAGCATTAGGGTGACGGGCGACCGGCGAGAGAGGGGATAATCCGCCAGTTCTGAGGATTAGTTGACTGCGGGGGGTAGGGCTTATGCAACAACATCCATATAAATAAATCCGTTTTATCGGACCGCTGCAGCCAGTTGATATTTCCCCAAGTTCAATACTCCACTTCTACCCTGCCCGATTATGGCTGATTTACCTACTAATTTCTGACCCAATTGTAGAAAAAAATATATTGATGGTCTATCATCCTTCCCCACCTCAGGGATTACATTCGCTCTGTGATCAGACAGACAATACCGTCTCCCTATTATGGATGCTAGTTGTCTGTGTAACTATTGCTTTTATCTAGCCTTATCGATGGAGATGTTGCAAATTTCCTGGAAGAGGCATTCTGCAGAATTAAGGTGGCATACTTACATTGTCGCATCATGAGCTCGGCACATATTTAGCAAGGAATTTGTTCAAAAGGAGTTCAGTTCATTTTGTTTATTTCTAATCTTCTCTTCCCAGCAGAAGCAATCCTACACACATCCACAACCACGTCCATATTCACTAATTTATAACAATGCTTTATCAGCTGCGTAAAGGTAAAGTTGTTCCTGTGCTTAACCAAGTAAGCACTACGCCATTAAGTCGTATGACGAAGTGGATGTACAGGTCCATATTTTCTTTACCTCGGCACTAGTTGGAGATGAGTGGTCAGTTTCACACTCCGGCCGCTTTACCCCCGGGGAAAGAGCTCGCGGTATCCATTGGATAGGAGGTTGGGTGGAACCCACAACCAGTCTAGACGACGTGGAGAATTGAAAATTCTTATCCCCACCGGGATTTGAACTCCAATCCCTCGGTCGTCCAGCCCGTAGCCAGTCCCTACACCGATTACACTATCCCGGCTCCTTTATTGGCTGCTTAGTCTGTGTAATATGAAGTTATACGCTCTTTAAGCGTACAGTGCTAATAACCTTCAGTGTCGAACTACGAACCGCTATAGAGCTAAGTCTGTGTGCTTGTTGCTTGGTTTTAATTCACATGATATCCTTTAGTTCATTGTCCTGCCGATCTCTGTCTCTAATCTGATCGCTAGGCAATGATACACTATTTTATAGTGCAAAATAAATATACGTAAATCCCTGTGTCGTTTAATTTGTAATGCAATCAGAACGCGGCGCCAGGACTGCATGTATTACAACACTAGTGAAGGAGTTTGTATGCACTGTTGCGGATGCGTCACAATATATAAGCAATTCCGTTAGTTCAGTACACTTTAAGAAAATTCCGAGCTAAGAACGGGAAATTTTACTTCTTGTAGAATATAAATGTAATGAGCCGTTACAACAGCTTTTTTTCCTTGGCTCTGAAAATTTGTTCCGTTTTTTTTTTCGCAAATACAAACAAATTCCGTGATTTCAGTCCGAAAGCGAACTATACCGACCGAGCGACCGCCGCTTGTCGGCGAAATTAGTGCCAACTTTAGCGGACAGAGTGTGTCGCATGGTCAGCGCAACGAATCCCCATTGCCGTTAATTTCGGTTTTCTAGACCGGAGCCGCAATTTCCTTGAAATAGCTCCTCAATTATCCTGTGTCCCAGATCCACCATTTCTCAGAAAATTTGGTAGCGTCGGGAATCGAACCCGGACTTCTAAATCTAGACCATATATCGCAAATATGTATCAAATTTTATTCTACACATATATGTTTAAGTATTACGCGAGTTTAAGTTGTGCAATACACAATACATCTTATAATCAGTACGTGGAACATGTAGAAAGTGTTACACATATATTACTCGCATATACAGAATGTCCCAGGAGTAAATATGAATATAGTGGGAGGTCATAGTATCATGTATCCTATTCCGAACGGTTTTCCTAGATGTAAAGCTAAACTGAGCCGGTCACGGTAGCCC